GGCCTTACTGTGTAGTACAGGCTGAGCTTGAATTTATTTTATAGCCCAGCTGGCCTCAACCGCAAGATCTTCCTGCCTCAGCCTCCCAAGTGTTGGAATTACAGGCATGCTCCACCCTATATGGCTACCCTCAGCCCTTTTTTATTAATTTACTTTGAGCATAACCAGCGAATCCTTGCTTTTGATTCTTTCGTTTTAATCTTTCAAAATCCATAAATATGCATAAAAACAGACTGGAAGACTACGTATCAAAGCATAGTATTTCTGTGGAAGAGTCTGCATATGCTGTTCAGTGTTTATGGTTAGTCTTCCAAGCTCAGGTGGCTTTCTTGTTTGTTTGTTTGTTTTTGAATTTGGGGGTACCAGGGATTGAACTTGGGTCCTTGCACTTGCAAGGCAGGCAGTGGCACCACTGAGCTAAATCCCCAGCGTAGTGGCTTTTGTCTTTAAAACTCACCCTTTTCAGCCAGGCTTGGTAGTGCATTCCTACAATCCCAGCGCTCGGGAAGCTGAGGCAGGAGAATCGCTGTGAGTTTGAAGCCAGCCTAGGTGCCATAGGGATCAAAAACCGGCAGGCAGGGAAAGGGTGGCTCCTCGAGGCCTGTCCTGGGTCCGCGAAGCGGCTGCCGGGTCCCCACACCCTCACCCTGTGTCTGTGTCTGCAGCCGCCATGCAGCAGATGCTGACGGAGAGCTGTAAGAGCCGGCTCGTCCAGGTGGCCTACGAGGCGCAGCGGCAGAGCCTGGTCCAGCAGGCCTGTTCCAGGTAAGGTAAGGAGGACAAGTGTCAGGAGAGGGCCTGGGGCTTCTGGTGTGGGCCCCAGACGGTGGGAGCCGGGCGCTGGAGCCCCAGCCTGGGCCACCTGGCCTCAGCCACGCAGCAGGGTTGAGAGGCGCCAGGCCTTCCTCAGTTTCCTTGCTGGACCCCGCGTGTTGGTGTGGGGCAGTGACAGTGACTACATTCATTCCCGTTTATGGGGCAGGTACTGGAGCTCGAACCCAGGGCCTTCGTACTGAGCTACATCCCCAGCCATTTTTTATTTTCACATGGGGGTCTTACTAAGTCACTGATAGCTGCCCAGTCTGGGCTCAAACTTGTGATCCTCCTGCCTCAGCCTCCCAGAGCAGTGGGATCACAGGCATGAGCCACCACACCCAGCTCCTTTTTTCAGTTTTATTTTTAAACAAGGTCTTGTTAAGTGACTAAGTTGCCAAGTATGGGCTCAATCTTGAGATCTTCCTGCCTCAGCTTCCCAGAGTGCTGAGATTACTGACTGTGCCTCTACACCTGCTTTGAGCCTTACATTTTTCTTATCAGAAGAACCCAGTAGCTACCTATAGAATTGTTAGAGGATTGGATGAGCATAACTCTACCGCGTCAGACCCAACAGATAACTTAGTAGGAAACAAACTTAGAAGCAAGACTGTACCGAGACCAAATTGTCAGCCTGGCTCTGGAGACGGCGCCCCCAGACCTTGTCCTGCTGGCCAAGGAGCTCCCAGGGATGCTGCGAAGGGAATTCAGGAGCTGGCCATTGGCCCGCGAGGCCCTCTGTGCCTCCTTCCGCCCTCCCCTCTTCCTGGGTCTGTGAGACTCAGACACGCTCCAGGTCTCCCTTCAGGTCCTGGTCCCCACGGGGATGCCTCAGTTTTGTAGGTTTTGTGTTTTTGATACAAGGTCTGGCTCTAGTCCAGGCTCACTTTGAACTCACTGTGTAGCTCAGGCTGCCTTGAGCTCCTGGAGATCCTCCTGCCTCAGCCTCCCGAGCGCTGGGATTACCCTCAGTACTGTTGAATGTGTGAAGGGTCAGGTCACATGGCATCCTCCAAGGCACCTGGCACCCAGCGGGCGCTAGGCTGGGTTCAGAGTGAGTGCACTTCCCTCCTGGCAGCATGGCTGAGATGGATGAGCGGTTCCAGCAGATCCTGTCGTGGCAGCAGATGGACCAGAGCAAAGCCATCAGCCAGATCCTGCAGGAGGTGAGCCCTGCCCCCGGCTGGTGCAGCTGCCCCAGGAGGCTTCACGACCATTGAGTGTGGGCCCCACAGGGCCAGGGGCAGGGAGAGCATGGGGGCTCTGGTCAGTCTACCCTGCTAAGGCCTCATCCCGAGGGGTGGGGTAGAGACCCCAGAGGGGGTGTGGGGGCGCCTCTGCCCCTTCTCCTCACAGACCACTGCCCTCCGCCCTCTGCCCTCCGCCCTCTGCCCTCTGCCAGTCTCCCTCTGAGCCTTCACCATGCAGGTACCTGGGAGATCCCGGAGCAGCCACGTCAGGGACTCTGGGGATCCCTGCAATTCTTTGGGTCTCTCTGCTTAGTTCAGGCTGGCCTTGAACTCACGGGGACCCTCCTGCCTCAGCCTCCCACTTAAGGTGTTTTTAGGGAGCTCTTCCTTGCCCAGCTGGCCTGAGGAGAAAGCTGGAGAGACGGCCTGCACTGAGGAGAGGTGGGACTTGGTCTCTTGCAGAGCTCTATGCAGAAGGCGGCCTTCGAGGCCCTCCAGGTGAAGAAAGACCGAATGCATCAGCAGATCAGGAACCAGGTGAGTGCTGGCGGGGGCCTGGATCCGCCTTGCTGGAGTCCTCAAGTCAGGCCGCTGGTGGCTCCTCCTGCCCGGCCAGCATCCCGCCCAGCAAGCGTGGTCTGTCCGCTCTGTTTCCACGGCACCAGCACCAGGGCCGAGGGCAGGGCAGTGGTGGTGCGAGGCCTTGACCGCTGGGTGTGACTGCGCCCGTCAGGGCTGCCTCACCGGGCAGACTCAGGCTGAACAGGAGCAGGAGGCTTCTGGGGGCAGCAGCCTCCTCGGGTCCTGACATCTTCCCGGGGCGACCTTGGCCTGGCAGCAGGGGCCACGCTCCCGTCCAGACCCTGCTGTGGCCTCGGGTGGCCCGGACAGGCCAACTGCGGGGCCTTGGGAGCTGCCTGTGCCTCATGAGGGGCTGGTGGCTGGAGGAGACGCGGCTCTCGGGTTCGGGGAAGGGCTCACGGCATTGTATCCCACATACTTTGAATTCTCCATTGTTGCATGTTTGGTGTTTGTTTGTTTGTTTTTTTCCTTTCTTTTCTTGTTTGACCACGGCCAACTTACCTTTTTATTTCCCTCTTTAATTTCAATCCCACCTTGCCAGACATGAAGCTCATTCCTCTGACCAGGGCCTGATAGGGTCAGAGGGACTCAGGGACAGAGGAAGGTCATGGGAGGAGGGTGGAGAAGTCAGACTGTGGGCTGTGACCCCCAGATTCCCTGAAAATGAGTGCTAACCACCCCCCAGGCCAGTGGTTTCCTTTTAGACCCAGAGCTGGGGCTTCCCTGGGAACTCTCCCTTCCCTGCTCTGTGTCTTTGGGTGAGTCCCTTACCCTCTGTGAGACTCAGTTTCCCTGTCTATATAGAGGAGGCAGTGATACCTCCTAAAGCCAGAGGGAGAACCGAGGTGTGGTAGTACTCACCTGTAATCCGGGTACACAGGAGGCTGAGGCAGGAGGATTGCCAAGAGTTCAAGGCCAGCTGGGCATGGTGGCGCATGCCTGTAATCCCAGCACTCGGGAGGCTGAGGCAGGAGGATCGCTGTAAGTTCGAGACCAGCCTGGGCTACAAAGTGAGTTCCAGGTCAGTCTCAACTACATAGTGAGACCCTGTCTCAAAAACCAAAAAAGAGTTCAAGGCCGGCCTGGGCTATGTAGTGAGACTGGCACAGGTCTAGAACTCTGTAGGTGCTCAATAAATCTCCACCACTGCTATTGGCACTCAGTTCTCATTACCCTCCACTGCCTGAGATAGCTCCCTGGAGAACGTGGCAAGCAGCAGCTCTGTGGTGACCCTGGGACTGTCCCTCACTCTCCCTGGACTGCAAAGGGGGCCCCTCTTTATCCTGTGCACCTGTATCCGGTGCCCACTCAAGGACAGGCCCCGTGTCAGCTCTCGGTCAGTGCTGTCGACCCCAGGCACCCGGAGCCACAGAACAGCAGCTCCTCTTCCACCCTCCTGGGCGAGGGCCCCAGGCCTACAGGGCCCTTGGTCCAGAGCCTCGCGGAAAGCGTTCTTAGACCCCACCCAGCCATCAGAGGGCAGCAGCACTAAACGGAACCACGGTCAATGCGAATAAACCCCCGTCTCGTCTTCTGTTTAGATTAGGTTAATAGAAACTGAGTTATTGCAGCTGACACAGCTGGAGTTAAAGAGGAAGTCCCTGGACACTGAGGCGCTGCAGGTATGTAGGGCTCCCTCGCAGCCACCAGGCGGGGCTCCTCCGGGCACAGGCAGGGCCGCCAGGCGCTCGCTGGTCCCCAGGAGGCCGGTGCTAGGCAGAGGGTCAGAGGAAGGAGGGCTTCACTGCCGGGGCCCCCTCTTCCTACCCGGTCACCCCTCCATCTCGCATCTCCTTTGTGGGGAGCGCTCGCTGCCGAGCTCCGCCTCCTTAAGCCTCGCTTCAGGGCTGCTGGTTGCGCCCCCTGCTGACATCTCTGCAGAAGGACATTTGGGGGCCACAAGGATGTCTGAGGGGAGGGTGGCAGTGTCTCTGGGAGCCCCGATCCTGCTCACAGACACGCGGGGCAGCAGTCGGGCCGGACGGCTGGGCCTTGCTGTGTGGCCTTGGCAGGGGCGGGATGGCCGTCTGCTTCTCTGGGCCTCAGACCCCCAGATGCACGCCGAGGGGGGTGGCATAGTTAGGGGTGAGGGCGGGTGCCACGCCAGGCTTGGACGGAGCCTCCGCGCTGTCCCCGTCCCTGTGGGGAAGGTGCCGCGGCCTGGCTCGTGCTGATGTGCTGTGTGACCTCACCGTGTCACTTCCCTTCCGGGGCCTCCCGCCAGCTCCAGCACAGACGAAATCAGAGTCTGTGTCATCGGCAGTTGGAAAACGGGGAGGTGACAGAGGTCCTCAGTGAGCCTGTCTCAGTCTTCAGAGATGAGGGGCTGGGGTAACACGGGGGCCGCCGCCCCCAGCTGCTGTCGGGGCCTTGTGGGCTGAGGGCGGCGGCCGGGGACACCGCCATGGACGTGGCCTGAACGTGTGGTGCCTTCCTCGCTGCGTGGGGCTCCGCTCCAGCCCTCCCTGCTGTGCGCTTCTGCCCGAGTGCCCTGTGGTCACCCGGACGCTGCTTGTGTTTCTTTTGTTTGCTGTTTCTCACCTCTCCATTGTCATCAGCCACGAGGGCCCCATGCCTGGACTTCCGGCCACAAGGAGGGGAGATGTCGGCTTTGGAGGAAGGGCAGGGGGCTGGGGCGGAGCAGCCTCTGGGCTTTGTCCCCCAACTCGGCCTCGAGGCGCAGGGCAGAGCTGGGCGCCATGTGAGCTCGGCCCGGGCTGCGCCATGCGGGGCCTCCTGGGTGCCCAGGCTCACGGCGGCCCTGGCCTGCTCTTGCGTTGCAGGAGGCGGTGGCAGAGCAGCGCTGGGTGCTCAGCGCCCTGCTCCAGCAGCTGCTCAAGGAGAAGAAGCAGCGGGAGGAGGAGCTGCGGGACCTCCTGGTACGTGCGGGGCCTCTGGGAGTGCGCGGGTTCCGAGGGCTCTACTGCTAACGTTTGGATGTGTTTTGATTTGTATTTCTAGATCTTTGTATGTCTCTCTCTCTCTTTTTTTTTTTTTTCCATAGTGGAGATCAAACCCAGGCCTGATGTACCACTGAGCTACATCCCCAGCCTTTTTTTTTTTTAGATAGGGTTTTGCTAAATTGCCTAGGTAGGTCCTAAATTTGTGATTCTCCTGCCTCAGCTGTCCTCAGTGCTGAGATTTCAAGCGTGCATCGCTGGGGTTGGCCTTCTTTCTCTTTTCTTTAATTAATTTTTAAAGACAGGGTCTCACTTTGCAATTCAGGCTGCCCTTGAACTCACTGTCTGGCTCAGGTTGGTCTCCAACTTGCAGTAATCTTCCTGCCTCAGCCTCCCTCAGTGCTGAGATTACACTTAATTCAAATGTATGTGCTTTTTCAACATAAAATGGAGTATACCCATCTGGGTATGGTGATGCCCGTCTCTAGTCCCAGCCGAGCTGAGGCAAGACCTTTTGAGCTCTCAGTTCAGGACCAGCGTAGCCCACACAGTGAGAGTACATCAAAAAACAAAACAGCCTGGTGTGGTGACACACGCCCATAATCCCAGCACTCAGGAGGCTGAGGCAGGGGGATCTCTGTGAGTTCGAGACCAGCCTGATCTATATAGTGAGTTCCAGGTCAGTCTCAACTACATAGTGAGACCCTGTCTCAAAAATCCAAAAACAAACAAAAAAACAAAACAAAACAGCATAGTGGCTCAGGCCTGTAAGCCCAACTACTCAGAGATCCCAAACAGCAAGTCTGAGACCACCCTGACCTGTCTCAACATCAAATTTTTGGTTTATTTATTATTTATTTACTTACTTTTTTAGTACCGGGGATCAAACTCGAGACCTTGCACTTGCAAGGCAGGCAGGGGCACCACTGAGCCAAATCCCCGGCCCTTCAACATAAAATTTTACAGAGGGCTGGGTATGGCTCCGTCCTCCGGGCATTCAGTTCCCGTGACCACACACACCAAAGACTGTGGCTCAGGGGTAGTTCACTCACCCGGCGTGCACCGGGGCCAGGAGGGCGCGTACCCCTTCACAAGCAGCCCCTTTTCACATCTTTAGTGTGTTTCCACAGCCAGGCTGCCGGTGTGCGCCTTGGTGGCCAAGGCTCCCGAAGCGTCTCTAGCTGGGGGTTTGGGAGCCACTCAGACACCTCCTTTGGGAGCCAAGTCCGGGGCAGGCCACCAACCAGCTTCCGGCAGAGGCGGCCCCACGCTCCCCTGCACCCCCTGGCACAGGGTGGTGAGCCCGCCAGGGGGCATCTCCTCCAGACCCGGGAGCCCTGAGCAGCGAGTGCAGAGGCCGGGCCACTAGGCAGGGGAAAGAGCAGTCGCTCCTGTGTCGTTAGGGGTGCACAGAGTGTCCCAGCTCGCCTGAGACCGGAGCGTGCAGGTTGAGGAGGATGAGACCGGCCCCTTCCGGGGACCAGGTGGCGAGTTTGTGCCACCAGAGGTCACCTCCTCCTCCCACACGTGGGATTAGTGTGCGGATGTCATGGCCTCGTGCGCCAGCCGGGGGAGGAAGAGCCACCTTGGCAGAGGCCAGGCTCACTGGCGCAGGAAGCGGGGGCACCCACCGCCCGGAGGGCCTAGGAAGGACAGCCAAGGGCAGCTGGGTCCTGAGAGGCTGGGGCGGGGCAACCC